TTTCAGTTTTTACAGCCATTAACCATGCACTTTCGTGCGACGGTTTTGGTTGCTGTCTTTTGGCCACCCAGTTGGATACCACAGTGGAATGAATATTGAAATGTTTTCGGAGCAAATTCAAGCGGAAAATAAATAATCCATATAGACTGCGGTTGCAAGGATAATGAATAGATGCACTAGCGCTACTGTTTGCGACACTATATATATATATATATATATATATATATATATATATATATCACTCAGTGTCTCTACCCATCGGGGTCCCAGCCAGGGATCCGAAATGGGACCTATGTCACCGAGTCTCCTGGTTAGGATTTTCATACCCTCATGTCAGATCTTAGTCTGACTGCCCTTGAACTGTTTCAATCCGCTCCCTGCCTCGGGAAACATCACTCGCCGTAGCAGCCTTTCTAGCGGCATGCGTAACACATGCCCAAACAACCGTAATCTATGGAGTTCGACTACTTGCTCCAGTCCTAAAGCTCTACGCATGACCTCAGCATTGCTCATCCGGTTACCTCACCAGACTCGTGCATTGCAACGTAGACAGTGGTGTTCGAACACCGAACACCTACGTTTATTCTGTTCCCCTAATGACCAAGTCTTTACACCGTAAAGCAGCACTGGCCGTATTGCAGTAGCATATACTCGAACCTTCAAAGACAACCGGATGTCGCGCGGCGCCAAAGATGTCTCAAGTTGGCAAATGCCAATCGAGCATTCTGTGCGCGCGCCGACACTTCATCTGTGATGCGTCCACCAGGTGAGATATAGCTGCCCAGGTAGCAAATTTTATCTACTTCGTGTACTACTTCCCCAGTCAGGGTGAGGTTGGGGGCTGGAGGTGCAAAACGCATGCCGAACATAGCTACACTAGCACTCAAACTATCCAGAAAAGGTTGCACCTTACCTGAATTTTTTGGCCTGGGAAACCTGGTAGTATTCCGCCCACAAGCAAATCATAGACCTTTTTAAAGAGATCATTTTACTGATTTGTTTGCCCAGTCGGAACGTAGACGCGTGTGAAAGACATGAAATCCAAAATCTCTGATGAGTTTTGGTGGAAGGAAGTGGTCGTAGTTCGAGTAGGAATCAATTAAAGTGCATCAATCCGCACTCGCCTTTGGTCTACTGATCTTGTTCGGCTTCAGGACCCAATGTATTTCCGCTTTGCCCAGAACACTACAAGTTTATTTAGTAGTTACTTGGATAAGAAGTCGAAGCACTCCACAGTTGTTCCACATTGGTCAAATACGATCGACTTCATTCACATGAAATCGAACCCGCCGCAGCTGATCGCATTCATTATCCCGCACTTTCTCTCACCCCAAAACGCATCAAACTTTGCTGGATCCCTCCATTTATTTATTTGCCAGCATCTCGTAACCGCAAGCACGCTGGTTGCCATGAGATCGTTTGCTTTCTTTTGTTTTGTTTTCAATAGACTTCGTTTTTCACAACATATGTGCTATCGTGCAGTTTTCTCGGATTCGCCCGTTGAAAGTGAATTTCGATTCACTTTTATCCACGGTGCCCAAATGCTCATCGGAATCTTACTCTTACTCCTTTTGTTCCCCATACTGTTACTACTCCAGGTTATACCCGGCTCAAGACGTGGCATGAGGGTATGAAAGCCCTAATCAGGAGACTGGGTCACACAGGTCCCGTTAGGCTCCCTAACTGGGGACTCCGAAAACTGGTGGTTAGAGACGCTTAGTATCGCAAACAGTGGCGCTCGTGTATCTACTCAATATTTTTGCAACCCCAGTCTATATGAATTCTCTGTCTACCCCTGAATTTGTTCCCAACATTCCAAAGTTCGTTGTGCTCATCTATTCAACTGGGTGATCAAAAGACCGCAGCCAAAACCGGCGCACGAAAGTGCATGGTTAATGGTTGTAAATCTGAAACTAAACATCCGGTTCTAACTAACGTTTTACCTAATTTTGGAAAGAATTTTTTTTCCTCTGTGGATGATTTCAATTGTATCTGAAACTTCATTCTATTCCGAGACGTTTGAAGTTTGATTGACTTTTTCCGACATGAGACAGTTGTAGCAATATGGTACGTAATGGCATTACTAGTCGCTTTCGACCTTTTCTTCGACGATAAACCTCTAACTCTTGCACATCCAAAGGACATCAGTAGAACAACAAGCCTTATTTGATGGCGTGATCCGAATTCGTGCTTACTTGTCGAAGCTTTCTATGGACGCTGGTGGATTTTTGCTGCATTCCTTTGAAAACTCGCTGCCTAGTCGAGCTTCGATCACGACCGCGTATTCAGCGAAACTGTACATACCTAGTCGTGGTTACCAACACCCTGGGCCCGCACCCGGTAGCAAACATCTCCGATAACCGTAGGCTTTATGTAATTTGCCGCCTTCCAGTCCACAACTCACTGTAGCGCCTTTTTTATATACTTGAGGTTAATGCTAAGGTTGGCGAATTGTGATGGGTTGTGTAGTATGGCCGATTCGGAAAACGGTCTGATCTGCTGCCCAGTTGTCAAGTAGGTTGCACGCTTCTGTTCTACCTCTGAGATCCTGGGTTCGATCCCCAGTCGGGTCATTCCACGACTGATGAAACCCAACCGGATCACAACTGGTTTACGGTGCTGCCGAAATTTTTTTAGTTCATGTTCCGTTCGCTCTGAACCAGACGAATTCAGTCCTCCACTAGGCTCATAAAACCGTCATTGCCATGTAAGAAGACAACCAGAAAAACTTCCAAGTTAATGCGTCCAAATTTTTGACACCTCATCGTTTTCCGTTACATCATCGTTTTTTACAACATTACTGACCCTTACAATGCATAGTATCGTTCTGTTGACAATGTATTTGTCTGTGCTAGGTATTGCAAATGGTGAAGTAGTAAATGAGGTAGACCGCTTCCAGACACTATCAACTAAACTACATGATACGGTCCAGATAAACCAATTAGGAAGAAATATTCATCTACGTTTGAAAGTTTGATTGAGAATAAAATGTCATCCAACCATTAGGTTTGTCTCCGAGTTTTTCTGGGTGCGTACAAAAGTGCACGCCAACTGCTGATAAATCTGCAATTTTTGAACTTGGAGAAAAACACGGAAAATGACCCTTCACAGTTCATTTTTCTCAGCGTCCATTCAGCTATGCCTCATCCATTGTCACTCCGGTTTTCTGACTCCTCAAACATAAGCTTAAGCGTTAGGGTTCATTGTTCTACAATCTGTTGCAATCCAAACGTCCGTGTTGAGCGAAAGGTTTGAAACAATTCAAAGTATCAAGCTTTGATTAGCCCATTAGATTGTTCAGAGGCACCAGACACTCTTGATGGTTCGAGTCCTGACAGGGACTTACTTTGCTTTACTACGTCTGGCTCCTTGGAAAATATACGCTAGGAGTTTGGTACGAGAGACGTCCCCAGTGTCACTCGACGTTTTTAATTTTGAGGGCACACCTTTAGCCTTTGCACAACCAAGTGCGAACTGCAAGACAGCGGGAAGTAATCCCTCGCCAAAAACCCTGATTCCAAAACAATCAAGAGGAGGCGTTCGAACCAAACACACAAAACTTCCTGGTTGTAGCCTTGACCACCGGCTCGATTGGGCATCAAGGTATATTGGGCACCTTAAACGTTTGACCCCGTCCAAAGGTCGTATGATCCGATGAACTGTACACCGGCCTCCAATCGACTGCTGTTTTCACACCGCCCCGCTGCCTTGCGGGTCAGACTTAGGCTGGGGATTCCTCAAGAAAATTCACTTGCTTTAGCCTGGCAGTATTCATCCCCCACGCAAATCGTGGAACGTTTTTCCTTTCATAAAGATTATTGTACCGTGATTTATTTGTTTGGCACAGACCGTGATTAAATAATATCTATGAGCTAGTTGACGTTTGGTGTAATATATGCGAGTGTTCTGAGGGACTCAATGCGCCATTTCGACTTTCTCCAAAAAGGCTGTTCTTCCAAGGAATAATTTGTTGTTTTTGTGAGGGGTTAAAACTTCGATTTGTGGTAAAATTAAGGTTTTATGTTAGTTGCCATTTTACGTCACAATCCCATTTATTTGCAGTCTTCTTATTCTTTGCGGAACAGAAAAGTCGTCTTCCATGATCCAGCCTCCGAATTTCTGTCCTGTGTTATGCACGAAGGCAACCTCTCGGTCAATATTTCCCTTAGAGTTGCTATTCTTCTACTAGTCGCAATTTGAATTTTGAAAAGTCGACATGCCAGTCTGCAATCATGATGCTTCTCTTGAGAACTATTCGCTGAAAAGCAAGTAATGTTGTTTGAATTCGAGGTCATTCATCAACCGCCAGTGCGTCCTCCTGTTACGATTGCGGCGCGTGCTAGAACAATATGGCAGATTCAGACAACTGGTTTAGTTACTATCATTCAATTAGTCCTTTTTGGTATTCGTGCGATGAAATACATGATGACTATCAGCTGGAAACCATAAGTCTTGATTGACCACTCTCGCAATTTGTTTTGATCCTAACGCAGACAATAAACTAACATAGATTATTAGCGTTATTATTCCGTTTAACTGCAATGGTAGAGTCACCCCCCCCCACCTGGCTTTCCACACAGATAACTGGAACGCCGGAAGATGACACTTGGCCAGACGTACGTCGTCTGATCAATTACGTGAACTTTGAACCCAAACCCGGTATACCTTTCTCAAAGATATTCACTGCAGCCGGCTCCGATCTCATCGATCTACTTGAGACCTTGTTAAGCTTGGATCCGGATCTGCGCGGCACCGCCCAGTCCGCTTTGGCATCGTCCTATTTTTCCAACAAACCGTATCCCACACCAGACGATCANACGATCAGCTACCTCAACCGAAAGTGAATCGTACCGTTGCCGGCTTGTTGCATCAACACGATCATCAGCGGGATCTGATGAATCCACTTGATCCGGGATTGGCCCGACCGGTGACCGCAATGAATTCAGCATCGTTGGACGACACCACCAGTACACCTATCTCTGCTACTCGTGCTTCGAGACACAAACAAAATCCCACCGATTCGAACTTAAAATCTGAACCGACGGTTGCCAAGCGCTTGCGATTCTAATCAACGCTTGTACATATTCCTATTTTTTTCAAACTTTGTATCAAAAAGTTGAATGATGATCCATTGCTTTCTGACCGGACTTCTTTTAGATCACGAAGTGGACGATTGGCGATAAGTTTAACGGTCAGCTAAAATGTTAACTAAGATCAGATCATGTCGGTTGAACACTGTCAATCAGCCGAGAATATACACTTCGACTTGCGCTGTTCGGCCCATCCTACTGTCAATGCACGGATACCAGAGTCGAGAGTGAATAATGTGCATCTATCTTGGGGATCTATCACTACCGATTTCAGTCCGAGAGCGATTAGGCGACCGAGCCATCTAGGGATCGATGCAAATGATGCAACGGGAAGCTAAAGACACGTGAGGCGAAGCGATTAGTTGCATAGGCAAGAGAACAAACAAACACACATCGAGCTGATTGCCACGCGGTACTGATCCCGGTTGGATGCTCAATATAAGGGGTAACATGATAAAATAAAGAGACCACCGCAATGTACTTCACTGTTGAAGGCAGCACGAACCGCTTGTAATTTGCATGTATTTCGCACTCTGCTGTTTCATTCACTGCACAAAATTGAATTGAACTTAATCCTAACATTCTCTTTTGTTTTCGTGTGTTCTGATCGCGTTCGATTGGTTTCATAGTTCTACAGTTAGGGTAAGCCAGTTAAGCCACTCCTCATCTCTTTGTTGGTAAAAAAAATCATGCTAAATACAAGAATCCGGTTTATTCTGGGACTAAAAAAAAAACAAGAAAATGAAAACCAGCAATTATGTCGGTACTGTGTGTGTGAAACGGGGAGAACAATCACATGACGAATGCTCAAATACGGTTTGGCAAAAACAATTGGTTACATTATCATCAGCATCCCGAACACATAAAATCACGCGGATGGGCACAGAGGACTGATTTTTTCACAAAAAAGGGTATCAAGACAAGGTGGTATGAGCACATGGGACAGACGTGAGACACAAACGAACAAGAAGAATAAAGGTATACTGAGAAGGACACGAGTCGACTGATGATAAGTCGTAGGTTTTGGAAGTACTACATGGTACACACGTGTGTTTTCACAGCTCTGAGTTTCTTAATAAAATGAGTTGCCGGAAAAGAAACAAGGAAGCGGTTTGTTCCGGACTGTTATGAATTTTGTGGTGGCGGTTTTGAATACAATTTTCGTCGAAAATTAGAACACAATGCTGGTATAGAAACCGGTATGGAGAAATAATATACCAGGGGTGATTGCGACGAAAATGTTTCCTCGAGATCTGTATAGGAGATTCGCCAGAGTGGATCATCGGTTAATCTGATTTGACTTGGTAATCGACCCTGCTCTTTGACTCTGGGTTCCAGGGACTCCGTTGGTTTTTGTAGTTCAGCTTTTGCACGGATACGGTTAGTCTCAGCCACCTTTTGTAACTGGCTGCTCAAGTGTCCCACTGCATTGATCAGTTCGTTCTCATTGGGGCCGGCTTCGTCCAACAGTCGGTGGAAGCTCTGTGTAGACGGGAGGGGGGGGGGACAAAGACTAAGATATTGGACAAACAGGCCAGTTAGCACGGGTAACGCGATTCGCGTTTGTTTGAGTGAATATCGAAATGGTAGAATAGGTTTTTGACTATTTAGTTTGACGAGATTCAGCATAATAGAATGCCTAGAATGTAGTTCCCAAGTATTCGCTGCATAATATGCACATAGTGCATAAAATCGAATTACGGTGAGATATGCCCATAGCGTATTTGGGGTGGTAGTGGCCCAGTCAACTTTACTGGCGCGCTTGAACCTTATGGTCCGAAATTCGAACCCCGCCACCCAATTTTGATGGTAGACAGTTTTACCGTCGTCCTATCCTAGTGGGGCCCTATGTGGTTCGCCAATCCGGGGCTTCGGTTGCCGGTTTCCATCACTGAATAGCAGGTTTATGTGACAAGGGGGTCTATCCTGTCTGTTGATCATCACACAAACACTTCTGAAAGAGTGGGTCTGCTAACTGACTAGCTCTGCTCTCAATCCTTCCTTCTGGACATTCATAACACTCATGGTAGCAGTGGTAATATACAATCAACATTTCCATCATTAGAAATTGGTTTTGAATTAAGTTGTCGCTGAGCGGTGCAACGCTCTTTTCAGCTGTGAGATTGGTAAACCCGGTCTCATATGCACTAATCGTTCTTTTTGCTAAACTCATTCAGAGGGTTCGGGGTGGAGAGGCTTTGAGACAGCCAAACAGTGTATTTGAAAAGTAGTGGATGGACCATCCGGTATGGTCTGAATACGTTTGTTTGAGGTGGACAGTTGCAATGCCGAACAAAATGGAAGCATGGCACCATCTAGTTATGTAATCGCTCGGTCATCAGTTCAGTTTGAACAACCACGCATTTTCGTGTACCCGTTTTGGTTGCTGTCTTTTGACTGCCCACTTGGATGAATCAGTAGAGGGACACGGCGAAGTTGAACGTAGGGTGGAATATAAAGTGGAGAGTCTCAATGGACTAAGGTTGCAAAGAGATTGAGAAGATACACGAACGCCACTGTTTACAACACTCAGTACCTCTAACCATCGGTTACGATCATCCCGAGGTCCCCAGCCGGAGAGCCTAACGGGACCTACGTGACCCAGACCTCGGTTTAGGGTTTTCACACCCTCGTGCCAGGTCCTGGCTTGATCACCGGCTTTTTTCCAACCACTACCTACCTCGGCGAACATCGCTTGTCGTGGCAACCCATCTGGTGACATGCGTAACACATGCCCTAACGAACGTAATCTATTGAGGTCGACCACTTGCTTTAGTGGTCACCAGTTAGCTAGTGCAATCACTGGTGAGCCTACGTCACTTGTATCCGATCGGGTAAAATGTTAACTATTTTGTAACACAAGGAATGCGTACCACAGTGTGATGTTGTTCTACTAAATGTTGTCAAATGCACGTGATCTTTTGCCGGCAACGTGAAAACTTTGAATACAAGTTAGCAAATCCGGTCAACCTTGAGTGCTAGTTTGACAAACACCAAGGACCCCGGTCTACAATGTGCTACACGTGGTTTCTGTTGGTGACATCAAAAAAGAACTAAATCACATTCACAATAATCACGTGAAATCAAGCGAATTATATCTATATAGAAAGCGGTAATGATAAAGGGATTGGATCGGCTACTTTCTAATGGTTCGGCCGCATTCCCACATGACAAATTGTAAAAGATTACGAATCAAATTACTGTCGATCATAGATCTCCTTGTTAGAGAAAATTGCTTTTAGCATGGATTAAGGGATTCATGAGTGATACCTAGAAAGGAGACAAAAAACATCAATCCAGAAGTTAAGGGTGTTCGATGAAAATGAATCTCGAAAATAGTTTTGATCCAAAAACAAGATTCATAATGTATGCCCAAATCAAACGCTGCTTTATGTTAGTGTCGTGGTAATCAGTTTAGTCGACGATGTTCTCGTCACGTGGTGAAGGACAAGGTGAGCTTCACTCATTTCGGCAAGACGATACGGTACACAAATTGAAATAGGAATAGAAAATGAAACTGACTGAAATGGAGAAAGGGTAGTAGAGTTACCTGAAATGGTGGTGTGGTGCAACATGCAGGACGCTGTAGTTTAATAGCTGTCACTGGTCTGTTTTGGACCCTGTGGTCCGAAGTTCGAGCCCCTCCAACGCCACCTACCTTTGGTGGTAGGCAGCTTTTCTTCGTCCGGTTCTGTACCACGCCTAATCCAAAGGGGCCTTAGGTGGTTCGCCACTCCAAGGTCCGGGGCTTGGATCATCGGTTTCCATTATTGAACAGCAGGTCCTTGTGACTATGTGGTTCAGCCCACCTGCTGTTCATCACACTAAAGTTTGTAATAAAAAAATAACTGTCTAAAATGAGTACCGAGTCTATTTTGACATTGGCATCACTTCAAACAGCCGCAGATGAAGAGATGTGATAAGAATGATATTACTGAAAGTTCACTGTTACGTTACATTAGCTTTCGGAAGCCAAGCCAGCCTATTTGTTCTTTGTCAGACACAGTTGGCTAAAAACCCTGATTCCAAATCTACCAAGAGGAGACGTACGAACCATACGCACCCACACCTTCCTGGTTGTGGCAGTGATCACCTGCTCAATCGGGCATCAGGGTATATTGGGCACCTTGGACGTTTGACTCCGTCCAAAGGGTGTATGATCCGATGGATTGCGGTTTTCACACACCACCCCGCTGTCTTGCAGATCAGGCCTTGGGCTGAGCAACCTGATAGTATTCCGCCAAAAAAATCATGGACCATTTTTTTGTTTTTATGAAGATGATGGCATCGTGATTTGTTTGGCACACAATCCGAACTCAGACTTGTGTGAAATACAAATACAACACAGTTGTGTGATGGAGAGCAGACGAATTTAAAGCCATGCTTAAGGGGGCCATTGATCAGTCATGGAAACCAGCAACTCAAACCGTGTTACTCAGAGTAGTGAGCCACATTAGGTCTCAATAAGATAGAAGCAGTGTTGAGCCCGATGGCTACCGCAAACGTTGGGCAATGGCAAGTTTGGAACTTCAGACCTTAAGAGCTAAAGAATACCAGTGACAGTGGAGTTGAACTGCTTGACCATTACCACTCGTATAATTAGGACACTGAATATAAGATTAGTTTGGAAAAGGAACGAGAGGGAAAGGAAATGGCAAGGACATGAGAAATACAGGACGTGGGGAAATCGAGATGTAGGACATTCACCAGAGTTCATGCGATGTTCAACCATATATCACATAGTGTATTCAATGATGAGTCGAGTTCGTGCCAGACATGCACCGAAAAAGCTTGACCAGGTCAGTCAGTTACACTTAACCTTTCGCGGACAACGAAGTCACACCGGCCATCACATCCTATATGATTCATTCTACACATCTCGTCTGAAATCATCCGCCGGCTGCAAACGATTTATATCCACTTAGAAGCGACCGAAAAATTTTACTAGAGAATGATGATAATGCCTATTACTTGTAAT